CAACAAATGTACAGAGAAAAAGATCATGGACACACTCCCAATCACAGTAGCCTCAAAGAAAATAAAATACCTAGGAATAAACCTAACCACAGAAGTAAAGGATGATAACTTTAGTATCATCTGCAACTGATAACTCTGAACCTCTGAAGGAAGTGTTAGAGAAAGACACTAGAAAAAGGAATAACATCCCATGCTTATATGTTGGTACAATTAACATTGGGAAAATGACCATTCAACTGAAAGTTAATTTGCAGATACAGTACAGTCTCCATCAAAATTCCCATCTCAATTGGCCTGGCCCAGCATCCTTCAATGAGAGATCCTGAGAGGGAGGACCAGACCAGAAGGTAAGAAGACAGAAAAGATTGGGATTGGGAGGCCATGTGCAAACTGTCTTGTGCCAAGCACCTTCATTAAAATGTGCTGTTTCCAGGGGGTGGGAAATGGGACAAAGTCAGCAGGAGCTACCATACAATGGGATAGTCAGCTGGAGGCTAAGTAGGCAATGTTGCACAAAAGGGAACAGATGGCACTGCAGACTGAGCACAAGGCAACCTTGGTACTGATAATTCCAGTCTCTTCATGGGGAAAAAAATCCATGTACCCAGGAACTGAAACCTTAACTCCTTCAAGGGCCTGGCTTCAGTCTGAGATTGGCCTTTCCAAGTCTGCTCCTGGGCAAGGACACAGAAGCAGGCTCTCTTTGTCCTGTCAGCAGGCCCTCTGAGAAGGCCTTGGATTAGTTCAGCTCTCAACATCATTCTTCAAATAAACAGAAAAACAAACAAACAAACAAAAAAAAAACTATCCTAAAATTCATACGGAACCACAAAGGTTCCCAGATAACCCAAACAACATTTAACAAAAAGAACACATTTGTGGAATAACAATTCCAGACCTTAAGCTATATTTCAGAGTCTTAGTAGTAAAAACAATATGGCACTGCCACAAAAACAGACATGTAGACCTGTAGCACAAATTCTAGTTGGTCTTAATAATAAAAACTAAGAGACAGATATTGGGGTCCAAGCAGAAGATCAGAAAGGCAAAGAGTCAAGCCATTAGAGAGTTCTTAGCTTCTACCAAGGCCAAGAATAAAGTGTGTGTGTGTGGGGGGGGCGGTGATCCTGTCCTCAGAGTGTCTGCAATGCTCTCCTCCAAACCTCAGACTTCCCTGAGTTCCTGCCTTATATTTCTCGATAGTGCTAGGACTAAAGGTGTGTCATCCCAAGTGCTGGGATTAAAGGTATGAGCTTCGTTTCTCTTTAGAGTGATTGACTCTCATTGGTCTTGGCTAACTAGTGGTTTAGCTCTTAACTAGGTATGTGGTTAACTAGTTAGTGGCTTGGCTCTGCACACAGATCTTCAGGCAAGTTTTGTTTTTGTTTTATTTTTTTGGTTTTTCTAGACAGGGTTTCTCTGTGTAGCTTTGGAGCCTATCCTGGCACTCACTCTGGAGGCCAGCCTGGCCTCCAACTCACAGAGATCTGCCTGCCTCTGTCTCCCGAGTGCTGGGATTAAAGGGGTGTGCCACCAACGCCTGGCTTCTTCAAGCAAGTTTTATTTGTTAGATCACAAACAAAATATCACCACATAGACCAATGGAACAAAACTGAAAGCTGAAATGTAACTTCACCCATTTAGTATTTGCTGAAGATGCCAAAAACTGAAGCTGAAAAAAAGAAAGCATCTTTAACAAGAGGGGCTAGGAAAGCTGATGCCCACTCCTCTGAAGAGGAGTGAAATCAGATCCGAATCTATCACCTTGCAGAAAAACCAACCCCAATGGATCAAAGACTTTGGTATGGGAACTGAAACGGCTAGAAGAAAACATAGACAGTACCCCACATGATATAGGGGTAGGAACGGACTTTCTGAATAGTATTCGATTTCCCCTAGAATTAAGGCCAACAATTGATAAGTGGGGCTTTATAAAACTCAAATGCTTAGGCACAACAAAAGAAACAATGGACCAGGTAAAGGTGCAAACCACAAAATAGGAGAGAATCTTTGCCAGCCACACATCTGACACAGGAGCAATATCCAGAATGTATATTAAAAAACTGCCGGGCGGTGGTGGCACATACCTTTAATCCCAGCACTCGGGAGGCAGAGGCAGGTGGATCTCTGTGAGTTCGAGGCCAGCCTGGTCTACAGAGCTAGTTCCAGGACAGCCTCCAAAGCCACAGAGAAACCCTGTCTCAAAAAACTCAAAAAATAAATAAAATAAAATAAAAAAACAAACAGCCCCCATCCCCCAACAAAAAATGATCCATTCAAAAAGGCTTGGGACTGGAACAGAGAGTTCTCAAAAAACAAACAAACAAACAAACAAACAAAACAAAACGGGGGAGGTGTGAAAAGCCAAAACAACTTTGAGGTTTCATCTTATCCCAGAAATGCTGGAGGGGATGGAACAGGTCCCCAGACCTTAGCACAACTGATGCTCTGCAGGAGGTACTATTCTGACCTTAGAGCTCAGCATGTAGGCCCCGATACCCCGTCAGCCCCCAAAACATACATACAAGTAACACGCAGACAAAACAGGCTGCATTTTGGAATGCATATGTATGTACACATATGCATTAACAAAAATTAATGAGAAAAGATGCCTTAATTTGGAAGAGAGTAGGAGAAGCTTATGAAAAGGCTTGTGGGAGAAAAGGGAAGCAAGGAATGATGTAGTTATACTATAATTTCAAAAATAAAACCGCCACCATGAACAAGGCAACTTATAAAAGAAAACATTTAATTTGGGCTTGTGGGCCTAGAAGGTTACAGTCCATGATGGCAGAGTGAAGCATGAAGGCAGGAATGGCTCAGAGCTCCCATCTCAAACTGCAAGCAGGAGGCAGAGGAAGCTAACTTGAAATAGTACCCATGTCTTTGAAACCTCACAGTGTCCCCAGTCCTCACAACACTGTCTCAGTTACTTTATCTGTTGCTGTGGTAAAATTCCTTTATAATTGGGTACATCAGTCATATTCCAGGGCAGGCCCTTTGCCAAAATGCAGTTGGTGGCCAACACAAAATGGAGTAAAAGATTTGTTTGGGCAGAATTTTTCTTTCATTTGGGTATTTTTTTTTTTTTGGTTGATCTTTTGTTTGTATTGATTTTCATTTAAAAAAAGTTTTGGAGAGAGAAAGAACATGAAGTTTGGTTGGTAGTAAGGTAGGAAGAATATGGGAGGTTAGAGGAGGGAAAAAGCATGATCAAAATATGAAAAAACTTTATTAAAAATTTCCCTGCAAAAGCAATTTAAGGGTGAATGTGTTTTTTCTAGCGCAGAATGCAAGGGTGTAGTCCATCTTGGTGAGAAAATCAGAGCCAAGGGTTTGAAGCCGTTGCCCTGCAAGAGCTGGGCGAGTACCAGTGTTTTTAGCTTTAAACCTTCATTTTAAGCCATTGAAGTCCCAGACCTAGGGAATGACCCTGGTCTTATGGGGTTTCCCACTTCAGGTAACCTAATTAGATAATTTCTTTTCTTTTTTGTTTGTTTGTTTGTTTGACTTTTGGGGGGGCAGAGTTTCTCTATGCATACCATAGTTGTTTGCTGAATAAAATCTACCCTTTCCACACAGCAGCATTTACACACACAAAGATTTAATTTAATTTACACAAACAAAGATTCAACCCAGAATTTTGAGATCAAGTTCAAGCATTTCCTGAGCAGAACTGCCATTGTTAGGTTTTTTCTTTTTTCTTTCTTTCTTTCCTTTTTTTTTGTTTTTGTTTTTGTTTTTGTTTTTGTTTTTTTGAGACAGGGTTTCTCTGTGTAGCTTTGGAGCCTATCCTGGCACTCACTCTGGAGACCAGGCTGGCCTCCAACTCACAGCGATCCGCCTGCCTCTGCCTCCCGAGTGCTGGGATTAAAGGCGCCACCAACGCCTGGCCCATTGTTAGGTTTTAATTGAGTTTTAATTAATGAAAATGCAATTTACATATTTCTCATTTGAGGCAAAGCCTTGTTTTTTTGTTTGTTTTTCGAGACATGGTTTCTCTGTAGCTTTGGAGGCTGTCCTGGAACTCGCTCTGTCCTGGAATCCCGAGTGCTGGGATTAAAGTCATGCTCCACCATCGACCAGGGAGACAGTCTTAAGGTTTAGGAGTAATTTAAATTGCCAGGCAGTGGTAGCACACACTAATCCCAGCTCGTGGAGGCAGAGGCAGGCAGATCTTGGCAAGTTTGAGTCCAGCCTGGTCTGCAGAACCAGTTAAAGAACAGCGGGGCTACAGAGTAACCCTGTCTGGAAAAAGCAAAGCAAAGCAAAGCAAAGCAAAGCAAAGCAAAGCAAAGCAAAAGCAAAGCAAAAGCAAAGCAAAAGGAAAGCAAAGCAAGACAAAAATCAACCAACCAAACAAAACCCCACCCAAAACACCAAGGCTGTGGAATTTCTCAGGGCCAAGATCAAAGCCTGGAATTCCAAAGCCAGTTGCTCATGGCAGAAAATGCCCTAATCGCAGCAGTCAGAAAACTGAGGCAGGAGGATCACATAAATTCAAGACAGGCATTATTAAGACTGTCCCAGAAATGGAAGAGCCACAGGGAACAAGCGGGGGGGGGGGGGGGCGGGGAGAAGGAGGGGTTAAAGGAGAGACAGGGGAGGGAATGGGCTGCAGAAACTGGACTCCATGGATTTAAAAAAAATGAGGAAACAACATGTAAGGGGGTGGCTCTGGATGGAATTTGGGTGGTGGTGATTAGGATCAAAATGCAATATGTAAAGTTTTCAAAATAAAATTATAAAGATGTTTAGTAAAATAAAAAGCAAACAGGACAAAGTAGAACCAGGAAATCCAATTGATCCAGTAGCTACACCCTTCCTGGTAGGAGGAGCCCATTAGTCCGGAAACCGCCTAGAAGATAGTAGGCCAAATGTGATTGGATGAGAGATTTCCGCCCACTGCCCTGTATATATATGGGCTTCAGGACGCTGGCTTCTTCACAGCCGCTCAGGTACGCGAGTGGTTTGCAGCGGAACTACATCTCCAGAGAAGCATGCGCTTGAAAGCTACAGAAGAAAGCTGGTTTCCACTAGGGGATCTTGAAGCCAGAAGAGGGGTAGTCTTTCCAAACGAGGACCTCCTGATGCCCTCCTGCCAGTACCCCTCAAAGCGTGGCCAGCGCTCCCAGTCAGTTGTGCCTTTTCCGAGGCCTGGCCCTACATTGTACTGCTGCTCTTCCGTGACTCCTTGGGAATCACTGCACTGGCGACCCCAGCAGGACGGGAGGAAGCTGTGGTGCCCGGAGACGTCGACGTTGTTGTCGTCACGGTCGTCCTCGGCTTCACGGAGAGAGGAGAGGAGAGTAATCCACATGGCCAGTCCCAGCCTGGCCAACAGCACCACAGCTGCGAAGAGGACCTTTAGCAACAACAGAGCCACAGCTCAGCCTCCACACATCACCTACATTGTCGGCCCACAGCAAGTCGCGTACAGCTATTCTTTATTTGGAGTGAAGAAAGTCACCCACAACAAGGAGTTTAAGGACCGGATTCCAGATGCCATGCGTCAGCACTACTTGGGCCTGTTCACCGAGGAATGCCTCAAGTTCTCCTCTTCGCGCCCGGAGGCCATTGAGAAGGCGCAGTCAGAGGAGAAGGAGGTCTATGACCAAAGTCCCAGCAAGAACAAGTATCTGAATGTCGCCCTGCACACCCTGAAGAAACTCAGGGGCCTGGTTCCCAGCGCCGTGCCCGGTCTCAACAAGGCCACCCTGTACAGCCGCCTGCGGAGCTATCTGCTCACAGAGGAGCAGCGCAAAGAGCATGGCTTCCCGTTCGCTCATCCGGAGAAGCCTGGGTCCGCAATGCTTTTCACGCGAGAGCAGCCTCGGAGCCCAACACACAGGACCTGCTGCCGCTGTGGCACTGAATATACTGTGTCGTCCTCAGGTTGCTGCCTCTGCTCGGATCCCTGCGTGTTCCACTGGGGGCGCATTGTCTCCATCCGGGTGCCCGGAGGCTCTCAGGTGCGGTACTCGTGCTGCTACGCGCCCACCGGAGCTACAGGCTGCACGGTGGCCAAGCAACACGTGCAGGACGGCAGGAAGGACAATTTACAGGGCTTTGCCAAGACCTTTCCGAAGAAGGACTGGGAGGCACACGCTGGAATCTACGCCCTGGACTGTGAGATGTCCTACACCACACACGGCCTGGAGCTCACCCGCGTCACAGTGGTGGACACAGACTTACGTGTGATTTACGACACCTTCGTCAAGCCGGACAATGAGATTGTGGATTACAACACCGTCTTTTCCGGAGTGACTGAAGCAGATCTGGCAAACACCAACGTTAGGCTGCGTGATGTCCAGGCCATGCTCCTGAGTCTGTTCAGCGCTGAAACCATCCTCGTTGGACACAGCCTGGAGAGTGACCTTCTGGCTTTGAAATTCATCCACAGCACTGTGGTAGACACATCTGTGCTCTTTCCGCACCACCGAGGTCTTCCCTACAAGCGTTCCTTGCGAGGCCTCATCTCCCATTACCTTAACAGGATGATCCAGACCAACAGGGGTGGACATAGCTCCATCGAAGATGCCAGTGCCTGTATGCAACTTGTGACCTGGAAGATTCAAGAAGACGCCAAGACCTCCAGCCCTCCTCAGCAAGAGACCACTTGCCCAAAGTGCAACCTTCAGCAAAAGCTGCGGGTTTACACCAGTCGATACACCCAGACACCCACGACGATGCAGATCCCTGAGGCTACAAACAAGCTGCACTGGGAGGAACGAGGCTCAGACCCACCTTATACTCTCCAGCCAGAGACTTGAGGACTTCTTGTGAGTTGATTATAGGATGTGGGGGTGAGGAATTGCCACCATAGAGTTAAGCTTTTAGTCCAAGCCTGAAGCCTTGCAGAGTTACATGCTGCTACCTTGTGGGGCAAGGCTGGGTACTGTTTGCTGTGTTGTGGGTGTGAAAACAGAATGAGTTTAGTTAAGTCACATTACAAAAGGGGTGAGGAAGAAATATTGCTGCTGGTTCCAGAACTCTGACACAGAGCTGACCAAGGAAAACAGCATGTCTGATTTAGGGGTGAGACCGTTTTGATTCAGCAAGAGTTGACGGAAGTGGTGACTATGACTTTAAGATTAACTTTGCTTTGAGATGAAATTTATTGGAAATAACTAGTTTCAAGAACATTAGTAATCTCTTAATTTCAGGTCTTTTTGTTCTTGGACTTGAAATGGTGTGAGATTTCTTAGGGAGAGTAACTTTTTCTTCTACTACGTAAATACATTATAAAATACAAGTGGTTTTGGAATGATTTTAAGAACTTGGTTGAAAATTGATTAAATTGTTTCTCCTAGGAAACAGCATGAACCCAAACTTTTATTTCTGCTTATGATATTTTTAAACCAGAAAATCAAATGCATTTTTGTCCTAACTAGCCACCTAGAGCTGTGTGTTAAAGGACAGTCTCTGTTACTGTATGAAGGTTAATGCAAGCTAGTGTGTTTTAGAATATTCAGGGGGAAAAAGAACTTTTTATTATCCATCTTTTAGATGACAGTGAGTTAGTAAGGAATGTTAATGATTGTACATGCCAATAACATTTTATAAGTTCTTTATACCTAAGCCAGGAATCAGAGCTCATTAGCATTAAGAACTTTGCGTTTTCAATAGTGCATTTAATACTATTATCTTTCCTGCCTCACCTGAGGCTTATTGTGTGGTCCAGGGCTGCTACCTCTGCCACCATGCTTTTTTATTTTTTATTTTTCCAAAATAAATCCTAAATTACCAGAGCAAAAACTAAACTCTATTCTTTGGGCTAATAACTCTTGCCTATGTGTTTTCCAGTTTGTAATCTTATATCTGATTCCCAAATAAAGTTCTTTTTTTTTGAAATAGAGATTTGTGCTCATGTGTTTGATTAAATTTTATTATGATTGGATTAGGGTTTGAGTCAGCCCCAGACTAGGAGGCACTCGACTTCCAGGACAGGAGATTCTAGCCCAGAATCTAGATTCCTGGACTTTAGAGGGTCCAGGCTTGAGTCTCCTGGCTTCTAGAATTTGCTTTCCCAATCCCAGTTGGACTTTTGTGACTTGGGATAGCAAAAGCACCCCTTATAGTATCCCAGAGCCTTCATATGTAGCAGGTCTTTCTCTGTTCTGCCTGGCAGCTCCCAGATCACAGCACAGAGACTTACTAAATGAAAGTCTTACTTATGAAAGCTTGACCAATAGCTTATGTGGTGCTATTTTGTTTATGCTCTAATAAAGCTTGCCTGAAGTTCAGGGTGCAAAGCTACCCACAGCCATAGAGGCCAGGCAGTGGTGGTACACACCTTTAATCCCAGGATTCAGGAGGTAGGCAGATGGTTCTCTGTGAGTCCAAGATCACCCTGGGCTACATGAGAGTGGAACAGTCTAAAAGAGAAACAGTTTATACCTTTAATCGAAGCACTAGGGAGGTGGTGACAGAAGTGGTATGGCTGGGAGAGAGGAATATAAGGTGGGAGGAGGTGGGAACACATTGTAGTCTAGGCAGTGAGGAACAGTGCAGTCTGGAGATGCCATCAGAGACAGGATCACCTCTTTGGTCTGAGCATTGATAGAGGTAAAGAGCTCTCTGGTAGCTTGGTTGCTTTGCTTGTTTGATCTTCAGTTTGAATCCCAATATCTGTCTCTGTATTTTTATTATTCATGCTACAAGCTTAGGCTTGTTTCTAACTAGCTCTTATAACTTAAATTAACCCATATCTTTTAATATACATTCTTTTAAATCTCTCAGTTACTTTTACTTCATAAAGTCCTTGCTGTTTGCTCTGCATCCAGGCATCTCTGCCCTTCTTCCCAGAGTCTTTTTTGTCCCTGAAAGTCACTCTACTGCCTATGTATTGGCCATCCAGCTCTTTATTACACCAATTACAGCAGCACATTTTCACACAGTGTACAAATATCCCACCGCATTCATGACTGGGTACCCCTTTGTCACCTGATGGACTTAGTCTGGGTAGACTGTCTACCACTACTCTTGGTTGGTTAACATGGTGCTGCATCCTCAGCTCTTGTATTTGTTTATTTAGGCTCTTTGAGACAGGGGCTTACATAACCAGGTTGGCTATTAACTCTCTGTGTAGCCAAGGTGACTTTGAACTCCCAAGTACTGGCATTACAAGCTCACGCCACACCCCCAACCAGAGTTTTTGTGGAAAAAAAATGTTTGGAAAATTAAACAAATTAAAGCTATTCTAGCAAAAGAGGAGAATAGGATGGTAGGCATTGCAACCTTTATTGTGATTTCAGTATTTCAACACTTAAACTATGAGTTGGGGCTAGATGTATGGACGGGACACCTGTGAAGCTCCTGGCGCTGCAAACAACAATTTCCTATCTAGTCTTCGAAGACAAAGTGCTGAGTATTTAAAGCTCTAGGGAAGCCCAGCATCACTGCATAATCAGAGGCCTGCTTTCACAACAGGGCAGGGTAAGGAGAGCAGGAGGGAAAACTGTTGTGCTCTCACTCACTTAAAGGCTAGTAGTAAGTAGCATATCTACTGCTAGCCGTTTACCAGAAAATCTTTACTATTTTATAACCAATGCACTGCATAGCCATCCAGTCTTGAATTAAAATGACCAACCATCCTTATAATTTATAAGAGTACAGATTTGTTTTGTTTTTGTTCTTTTGTTTTTCGAGATTTCTCTGTGTGGCCCTGGATATTCTGGAATTTGCTCCGTAGACTGGGCTAGCCTCAATCCCACAGACATCCACCTGCCTTGCCGTCCCTAGTGCTGGGATTAAGTGTGTGCTACCACTGCCTGGCACAGGAAGAGTACAGATTTTATACAGTAACAATCATATCCTTAAGCCATTAAAAAAATTGCATCTGAGCTGTGTGCAGATGAAAATATTCTTCAATAACCCAAAATAGTATCAACAAACTTTTGAATGACAGAAACTGATAATGTAAGATACTCACATTGAATCTTCATCTTCAATTTTATTAAATATAGTCTTGATCAAGTTGTGATATTTTGGTTGATGACAGACTGAATATTAATGACAGTCCTAAAATATTACTGTAGAAGTCAGATGTGGCTCATTCCTGTAATCTATAACATTCATGAGGTGAGCAGGAATTCTACTACAAATTCAAAGTCAGACTAGTCTATAGTGAGACTCTGTTCAAAGTTGTGAAAAATTACAATACGTCTAAAAAATTCTTGTTGCTTTGTGGTTTTATAGTAAGGTCATAGCAATGAATTATTCATGTGTTTTAGAGCTGGTGTAAAAAGCACTGCAAACTGTGTAAGCCTAACAATGCAATTATGTGCTGAAAAAGAGGATTGGGGATTTGTTGCTGTTTGTTTGTTTTGGGTTTTCAAGACAGGGTTTCTCTGTATACTCCTGGCTGTCCTGGACCAGGCTGGTTTCGAACTCACAGTGATCTGTCTGGCTTTAGCTCCAGAATGCTAGGGTTAAAGGCATGTCCTACCACTACCCAGCAAAAAAGTATTTCTTGAGGCAGAGTCTCACAATGTATTCCTGGCTAGACTGGAGTTTACTAGGTAGACTTATGCTAGGCCAGAACTCAGAGATCTAGGTGCCTCTGCCTCCTGAGTGATAGGATTAAAGGCGTGTGCCACCACACCCAGTGCCAGAAAATATTTGGTAATGATTAATGACTATGTTATTGTTTATATTATACTTTTAAAATATTTATTTTTATTATTTTTAATTATGTTTATATGTGTGGGGTATGAATGCATGGGTTCCAGGGAGGCCAAAAGCTGCTGTTGATTCCCCTGGAGCTATTAGTGAAGGGTGGTTATGAGCTGTTCAACATGGATACTAGGTCCTGGGTCTTTAAACACTATACTCTTACATGGAGAAAAGTTTTTTGTGGAACAATATACCAGCAGCAGCTTTAGAGAGCCTGTCTTCACTTTGAGTAGATTGCATCAAAATGCCAAGTCACATGATTGACTTATGCTGTCTTGGTTTCTGTAAGTTCACAATATGATATTTGTACAACATTGGCTAATTGGGCCAGTGATGTATCTCTGTTTGGTAGAGTGCTTGCTTAGCACACACAATCCCTGGATTGTATCCCTCACATCACAAAACACCACAGGTGGTGAGTACTCCTGTAATCTCAGCTCTTGGGAGGTGGAGGCAGGAGTATTAGGATTTCAAAGTCATTCTTGGCCACATAGGGAGTTTGGACCCAATCTGGGTCAAAAAAATAATAAAGCCAGGCTATTCTATTCATCACAACATATCTGTATTGTTAAACCATATTATTACCATGTTTGTTCTTATCAAAAGGGCAAAATTTGTGTTAATAGGTTGGTAAGTAGACGCCACCTACTACATGAGTTTAAAACAAAACAGTTTGTTGAGGCATTGGTGGTGCACGCCTTTAATCCCAGCACTCAGGAGGCAGAGGCAGGTCTATCTCTGTGAGTTTGAGATCAGCCTGGTCTACCAAGTAAGTTCCAGGACCCTGTCTTGAAAAACAACAACAACAACAATAATAATAATAAACAAACCAAAACAAAACAAAACCAAAGTTCATGGGGTATTTATGTCAAGACAATTTATTTGTGGTATCATTCTTCTTTGTTTAATAATAGACCATGGTGCACGCCTTTAATCCCAGCACTCAGGAGGCAGGGCAGGCGGATCTCTGTGAGGTCAAGGCCAGCCTTGTCTCCAGAGCGAGTGCCAGGATAGGCTCCAAAGCTACACAGAGAAACCCTGTCTTGAAAAACCGGAAAAAAAAAGAGAGAGAGACCTAGACTAAAAAGAGTCAGAAGGGAGACTGGAGAGGTGTTGTGTAGCTATTGCTGGGCTGCTCTTGCACAGGCCCCAGTTGCAGTTCCTAGCACCAACATGGAAACTCAGCTCTAGCCAAAGGGGATCTAGCGCCCTCTTCAGGCTTCATTGGGCACCACACACTAATGGTACACATAACACAAGCCAAGGAATACTCAAACATATAAAATTAAAATGAATCCATTTTGATTGGCTGAGGAGATTCAGATGACTGTGAACCTAGGCAGAGTAATATGTTCTAAGGGTGTATTCAGCAAACTAAAATGAATGAGTTCCCAAG